CCAGTGGCGGCAGAGCAGGTTTTGCGCATGTTTCCTCATGGGTTTTTCACTGTAGTTGTTTGTTAATCTTCGTGTTATAAGTATGTTCGTCTCCAAAATACTACTTCATTATTCTCGAGTTTGTTTTGTACTGCTAGCTTGGTACTTCAAGTCTGAATACAAGTACTTACAGAAACAATACAGATAGGAAACCCCTTTTATGAACCTTTTTCTTTTGTAAGTGATGCGTGCAGAAGTGTTGCTTTAGTGATCAGTGTCACAAAAATTTTCCATCTGCATCGTTTCTAGAAGCTTATAAAATCACCTTAACAAAAACCGAGCATAACTGCGCGAAACAACACTCAACAATAACAAAACGCAAATATGACTAGAAACACTGGCACAGTACACAAATCAACAAGCAACTGTGTAAAAAAACCAAAAAGAAATCTGCGTAGTTTTAGACTGAGGGTTCTGGTGCCACGCTCTGCCGCGACCGGCCTGCTTCAGTTTGAAATCGAATTCGTCCACTGAGCCGACTAGTGGGGTGAGGACGACTATAATATCAAAGACGAACACAAAGAAGGAATTCTGAGAAGTCCACAGGAGATAACTGATCACTGGCGCGCATACTTCGAAGGGAAGGCATCTACAAGTTACGAAGAGACAATTACCTTGGTGGCTGAGATGGTACATAACCGGTAGAAAACATCACACAAGAGGTCCGTATTGATATAACGAAGACGAAGAACGGCAAGGCAACAGGCCTGGAGAACATCCCCAGAGAATTCTGGAAAAGGCGCGGACAAGCTGAAGTCTGGTTAACACGGTTTTCAACCAAATAAGCGAATCTAATAAGATCAAGAAGATGCCGAACGATTGGTCCAGAAGTACAGCGTTCAGTATGGAAGAAGAAAGGGGAAATAGCTGATTGCTCCACGTGCTCCATCCTATACGTCTGATGAGTCACACGCGAAGATCTTCGAACGAAGACCATATACTAGACCCAAATCATCATAAAACTGGCTCCCTATCAGTGCAGATTCGTGAAGGGCTGTAGCACAACAGACTTAATCCACGCCGTCAGAATAGTGGTAGAAAGAAGCAGGGAGAAGCAATCTGAATCACATGCAGCGTTTCTCGGTCTGAAGAAGGCGTTCCATAAAATACCGCACGACATCATATGGGCATTATGAAAGCACAAAGTGCCAGAAGAGTACTTGCAATGGACGAAGATGATCTACAAGAATGCGACCAGTTACGGACGGACAGCAGCGGGACCGTCGAAAGAATTCCAGAAACGTGTTGGAGTACAAGTGCTCTGTACTTTCGTCGCTCCTACTCATCACACTCGTGAATGCAGTATTCGTCAACTTCATATAACAATGAACACTCATGTACGCAGGTGGTGTCTTTCTACTGGCAAGAGGCGATAGGCTTCAGATGCAAGTGCACAGATGGAAAGATCAACTGGAGGTACACGATTGAGCTGAACACGGCGAAAACAGGTATATGGAGCTGTAACAACAGACAACAAGGAGTATCCAGATCAAAAAGCACATCAATCAAAAACACAACTCCTTCAAGTATCTGGAAAGCCGTATCTCCGCAGATGGCTGCCTCCACGACGAGATATGTAGCACGGTGAATGCAGCTGGATAAAGTGGAGAAGTACAACAGGACTTTTATGCGACGGATGCCAAGAAAACCAAGTCCGTGACATATCGAACGATTAGCGGCACTATACGGGAGCGAATGCTGGACGTGTACGAGAGAGGGGAATTTGCGTAGTGGAGACGCGAATGTACAGACAGAGCTCAGGAGTGACGGCGCCGGACCGTAGTCCGAATAACACAATGCGAAGCCTAATAAAAACCACACCAATCGTGAAGAAAATGCAAAAAAGGCGTGTCCGTTGGTATAGACATGTGAGGCGAAGAGAAGAAAACCACATCACAAGATTGGCCATGTTCGTGGAAGTGCCAGGAAAGAGGCCGAGAGGAAGCCTAAGATGCAAAGGCTAGATAAGGTTAAAGCAGAGATGAGAGAGCTTGAAATCGACGAAGACCCAGCGTGCCAGGGAAATGCAAGAATAAAAAAGTGGGTTAGGATGCTAAATACTGATTTCTATAAACACATTGATATTGGATTTGGAAGGCACAACATCTTGCTGCAACGTAAGAGCTTCTACAGGGAAACTAATCTTATATATATAAAGCTGAATGTCTGTTTGTATGTCCATCTGTATGTCTGTCTGTATGTATGTCTGTGTGTACGTATGTTCCGAATAGAAAATTCCATTTCTGAACCGACCAGGACCAAACTTGGCCCATATACACTTCGGGCCCGGCGGGTGTCACAGGTTACTTTTCGTTATCGATCGATAACGATTTTATCGATTTTTATCGATTTTTTTGCAGAGTTCACCTACGGGGCTGGGGGTTGGCACAGGGGGGTAAGTGAGCATGGGGATCCCGAATACAATATTAGTTTTTAGAATTATCGATTTTATCGATTTTTTGTAAGGTTTGACCTGCGGGGCTGGGAGTTGGCACAGGGGGGTAATCGAGCATGCTAATAACGAATAAAATATTAGTTTTCAGAATTATTGATTACTTTTATCGGTTTTATCGATTTTTAGTAAAGTTTGACCTGCGGGGCTGGGATTTGGCACAGGGAAGGGGGGGGGGGGGTAATAGAGCATGCTGATTACGAGTACAATATTAGTTTGGCGCTATTCGGCTATCCGGGCCGCAAAATTTTTTGTCGTAGAGCTTGCTCAAACTTCATCTATAAGGGTTATCTTACATGCCGATTACAGATATCACACTTTATCCGCAGAACGTTTCCCCGTGTGGTTACGATAAGTGTACGGTAGGAAGTCAAAATCATGAATCTGGATGGAGTTCGGCCCAGAGGGCTTACTCGACATGCTGATTACGAATTTCATACTCTCTCTGCATATTGGGACCTTTTCATAGAGTTATGGTGGTTATACGGTATGGGATCCAAAACATAGATTTGCTCTAAACTTCGTCTAAGGTGGTCATTCCGCACACTGAACATGAATATCATGCTGATTTCGCGGATAGCGCCCTTTTCTTTGGTTACGGTGGGTGTACAGTAGACGGGCCGAAGTTACAGAAGTTATGGTTAGTTGCAGGGTTTAAATGGACATCTTTTCGCTTTCGGGCCAATTTTGATCCCAGATATTCACGAAGTGGGGAAACGGCCGTTTTGCATGGCGGTCTCCAGCGCCACCCTGATGACCTGTCCCAACGCGTAACGCACGCGGCAACTCCCCCCCCCCCCCCTCCGTTCTTTGCTTAGGCAAAAGCCGCCGAACGGTGTATCGCGCGCGGCAGTGGTCCTATAAGGAAAGCACTACGGTCGTGGGAAACTTTTATACCATACGAATTGCCTTTATTATGGGATTTAAGCACGATATCCTCGAAACAGCAGTTTAGGTAATTCCCTGCCAAGGTTTCAGGCAGGTTCATGATTTTTACCCGCTGCTATGTACCTACCGTAAATCTGCGAAAAGGTCTCAAAACGCAAGGAGAGTGTTTTAAACGTGGTCAGAAGGTCAAATCTCTTTAGACCGAGTTTCAACCAAAACTGAGATTATGCCTGTCTGCAATATACCTACCATAACTCAAAACGCCCCAAAATGCTGAAGGAGAATGATATTCGTAATCAGCATGTCAATTAGCCCCCTGAAGCAAAGTTTCAGCGAAATCCATGAATTTAGCTTCTTACGTGTACCAACAGTAAACCCAGAAAATGGCGCTATCGCGCGAAATAACTACGATATTCAACATCAGCGGCTCGAATAATCCCCATATACCGAGTTTGAGCGAGATCCATCACAAAATATTTTGGGGCCGGATAGACGAATAACGCCATTAGTTTTTAGAATTATCTTCACTTTTATCGATTTTATTGATTTTTTGCAAAGTTTGAGCTACGGGGGTTGGTGAGGAAGGTAGGTGAGCATACTGATTACTAACACAGCGAGAATAGGGGATCGCAGTGGGCACAGGGAAAAGTTGTACAGGGATAGGAATGGAACCTTTATCTATTTTGACAGAGCCAGGCGGAGCCGGGTAAGCCAGCTAGTCTTATATATAAAGCTGATTGTCTGTTTGTATGTCTTTCTGTTTGTTTATCGTATGTACGTATGTTCCGAATAGAAATTTTTATTTCTGAACCGATTCGGACCAAACTTAGCACACATACACTTCGCGGCGGGGCAGGCGTCGTAGGCTACTTTTCGTCATCGACCGATATCGATTTTATCGATTTTTATCGATTCTTTGTAAACTTTGACCTGTGTGGCTGGGGGTTGGCACAGAGGGGTAATCGAGCATGCTGGTTACGAATACAATGTTAGTTTTTAAGATCATCCATTACTTTTATCGATTTTATCGACTTTTTGCAAAGTTTGAGCTACGGGGCTGTGAGTTGACACAGGTGAGTAATTGAGCATGCTGATTACGAGTACAAAATTAATTTTCAAAATGATCTGCATCTTTGATCGATTTTTCCGCAAAATCAATTTCCGGGCGGAAGTCACAGGGAGTAAAGTGGAGAGGCATGCTGATTACTAACACAGTGGGAATAGGGAATTGCATGTAGAAGTGGGCACAGGGAAAGGTTGTACAGGGATAGGGTTGGAAGCTTTATCATAGTGTTCTGACAAGGCCGGGCGGAGCCGGGTAAGCCAGCTAGTGATAAATACAATTCATGCAAGACTGCATCTGATCGAATCAACAATTTCTGCTCTGGGATAACAATGTACAGTACAATACCGAAAACTTTTCGGTGTTACGAACTCCAAAAAAACTCCATGCACGGTGTATGAATATAAAATGAACAACATTATGAATATAGGAAATACAACACATATGAGACATGTATGCAAAACACTAAAAGGCTGCACGCCTTGTTATCCTACATTCACAATGGGACAGCATAACTGCGTAGCTGACATAAGTAGTAGAATGAGTTATGTCACAACGGCCCATGACTAACACATGACTGACACACTACCATCACTGCACCTTTTGAGTAAGAAGTAGCTTAATTATATTTTTCATGAGTAGAAGGTCAGTACAGAAGTCTGATTTCCACGAACGAGCAAAGTAGGAGGAACTCCTCTAGTCATTATGTCTAACCAAGAGAGATACAATGACGCGCTGACCATGCCTTTTCGAGGTACAGGTAGTGTCCTATATACAATATTTAAAGGCATACGAGCATCTGAAGGAAAACTTACATGACGATGAGATCCGCATCACTGGAGTGCTCACGAAGAAGCTCAGCAGCACGTAACTGCCTGTAAGTTTTCGGCTTTTGTGCATCTAGCTCACTTTGCGTCGTCATGCCAAGGAGACATTCAGCATCAGCGGAGGCGATGAAAGGACTGATGAAGTTCTCCCACTGAGAAAGCCTGAACTCCTCTCGATTAGCTGAAATACTGCAAGAAACGCAGATTACTTGCATGACTTCGCTTTAGTTTGCTTGATCTATTAAGGTATGTGTAGCACTTTTATTGTTTTGCATTCCTGGAACTCACGTTTCGGGCTTAGGCTCGCAGCCGATATCCGATATGATAGAAACATCGCTAAAATTGATGCGGAACTTTTCTAATAGAACAGCCATACTATGTTGTTCCTCCTCCGTAGTATGTGAGCAAGTTGAAAGAGTAAAAATACGCAATTTGGCTCCCTAAAACTGCTTACATTTTCAATTCTAACAAAAGCTATCGTCGATTTGTTGACCGCACGGACTGCTAAAACGAGACCACGGACCACGCGCGGCGCGGCTATAATGTTGCGGAAGCATGACATGTACAATGGCGAACTTGTGCTGGAACTAACGTTTTACCTCGCGGCGCGTGCTCCGCAGTGATGTCCAGTCCGTGCGGTCAACGAATTGACTATACACAAATCGTACTTCCAAGTAACTTTTTGAGATTCTCAGCAGATGCGGTAGAAGAAGTGTGAGACCACCATCATCATACAACCACCACACGTCAATGGTGCCCTATATTTGAGGTTCGCATGTTAATTTCTCGAAATTCTCATCGTCACTAATACAATCTGTTTTACCTTCTTAATCTTCTTTTGAAACTTTGACATGGATGCAAGTAAATCTTCCTCTGTAGGTAATGAAGTGCTGAAATAAATTTGTTTAGTATGTCGACAGGAAAAATACTTTTGGTCAAAGTGGCCGTTTCACGTGAGATGAGCACTACTAAATCTCAAAGCTGCAACTTGTACCAGCGAAAGCTCCTATAAAAGCATAAAAGTTGATAAGAGGTACAAAGTTGAGCTCGTGGTATACGAGCGCCGCAACATCTATATACATAAAATATTCGGATGGCACAGTGTGTGCGCGCTCATTGCGCATAGGGTTGCAGCTAGGATCCCTCCGCCAGCTTTCGAACTTTGTTTTTGGCCCCGCAGCATTTTAAATAATCTGTTTTGCAGTTACAGGTAAAAAGCGCTTGATACTACTCGTGATATTACATATCTTGTATTGAACGAATTCGCATTACCTTCTTTATAAGTTCGAACAATGCTGGAACATTTCAAACTTATTTATGAAGTTAATGTATGTATTCATGTTGTGTGTAGTTTTTAACAGTCTAGGGGGGGGGAGAGGAGTGGGTAAGTGAGCATCCCTACGAGGGGTAGGGAGCAGATACCTTATTTTTAGGTTTACAAGCAGCGCTCAGTTTGCTCTAAAAGCAGACATGGGATTGCTGCGCGCTTGCATCGCGCAGCGGTCGCTCTCCTCTACTAATCGCTCAGTTAACGCGCCCGCAGCAAAGGGTCCTCATGAATTTCTTCGGCATATTTGTCTTAGGCCAATCGGGATGGACTTCTATACACCTGAAAGTAGGACAGAAATGGAAAGGACGGGACGGTGAGTTCTATCATGTTATGTTAGTAGGAACATCGAGCGAAACTGAGTATTTCAGCACTTGGAACATAAAACTGGTGAGAGGCATGCATAACGAGCAAGACATAATTGTTTGTAATATGTGGCTCGTGTGATGCAGAAAATTCTGGAAATATTCGAATGTCAAGTATTTTAAACAGAAAGTTCTATTGCACCAATACGGAATCACAACTTTTGTCATGATATGCTTGCTATTAAAAGTCATGTTCTTTCTAACAATACCTCCTTGTTTGCCTACTGCTGAGCTGTGATTGCAGAGATGAAAAGAAAGGAATGAGATCACTTGAAGGCAGTGTCCAAACAAAAATACTTCTAGCAAGATAACTATAAAAGTATTCAACGACGACTGCCCCGATTGGCACACTTACACCATTGCGGGTGCCTTAGAGATTTTTTTAGCTTTACAGTACCTGCTACGCGCAGGGAATTTGCAGCTTGCAACATCCTGGTCTAACATCTATTATTATCAAAGCATTTCTCATCCCTTTTCTTTCTTAGTTCTTATCTCAGGCACTTTCTCGTCCTTTCTTTCAGGATCACTCGCTGATCGAACATCCTACAAGTTCTTTTTTGATAAATACTGAGAAGCCACCAAAAACGGAGTTCTGACGCATTTTGAATTTTTTCTCTTTTTAATTATCGTCGGTCGTTTTCGAGAATCGCGAACCATCGCAGTTGGCAAAGTTAGGTTTGATAGTGATTTTTTTTCAATGTATTGGTGACTATCACGATTTTTCATTGATGAGACCATGCAAATGTTTATCTCAGCCTTCCTATGTGATGCCCCTGATGTGGGAGTGCTCAAATAACCACTTCGGTAGTTTGTCCTGAGATATGCAAATCATCATGAAACATCAAAGAAAATATGCACTCCGATTCAAAGCCATGATATTCACCACTATTTTTATAACAAAACCTTATATTTTTCTCTGATTTTGCCCAGAGCGATGGTCTTTGGATATGGGAACGAGTAAGTGCCTGAAATGAAAAGAATAAAAGGAGAAAAAGAAAAGAAGAACTGGGGAAAAACTTTCGGTCAGTAATAAGGTTAGTCAATTAACAAGTTGAACTTTATTCGACTTTCGAATGAAATTTTTCGGTTATCTGTGCATTGGTCATATAAAACTGCTATTTCGATTACTCGATCATCGAGTGATCAAAATAATATTTAAAAATAGAAATTTTGGGATATTAACTTTTGGATAACATTCAAAATGATGACCATAGATTTCTCGAGTACTTGAAATGTGATACTCTGGAATAGCCAAATTTTTAGAAGCTTAACATCAGACTTTTTCGAATAAAAGCAAAATTTCTGTTTTGATTAAAGATTCAACAGGAAACCTGAAAGACCAGAATTTTTACACATCGAAGCTAAAAGCTCATGGTTTGGATCTGTGCTATTAAAGGAAGTCACCTTCTTCAACAAGCAAAAATATACCTGCTCCCTTTATGATCACTGCTCAGGTGAGGCCGTCCGTTCCCAGCTTCGACGTTGTTTTCAAATTTCTTATACCTTTCTACTTCACCATTTGCTGTACCATTACGATTTTTATCCTTGACAAAAGCTTCCCAAAAATTGAACTCAGTTGCAAAATAAAGTCAACTAACCTCGTCATCATCTATGTCTTTAGAAGTGTTTGAACCTGGAATAGATAGATATATAGGTTATCGAAAGGTGAAAGTTCAAAACGTTTACAACTAGGCTGTTTTTTATTCCTGTCATTCTAGACCAGAGCGGTAGAGTAAGGCAAGGTTATTTTCATTCGAAAAACCAATCTATTTATTTCTCTTGAACTTGCAAGCTACTGAGCTGTCAAAATGTTATCACTTTTGAACGATCAAGAGTGCCCAAAAATCTTAATTATATTGCTGAATGTCTCTTTGTATGTCTGCTTGTCTGTCTGAATGTGTGCACGTAAGTTCCAAATAGAAAATTCCAAATATGAACCCATCCGTAACAAACTTTGCAGTCATACACTTCAGGAGATGTGGGGATGTCGTGCGCCACTTTTCATTATCGATCAATATCGATTTTATCGATGTTTCACAAGTTTTGAGCTACGGGGCTGGGAGTTGGTTAAGGAAGTAAGTGATCGTGCTGATTACAGCTATAATATTGACAGGCCTGGGAGGAGCCGGATTTGCCAGCTAGTTTTCGATAATGCCGACGATAAATTCAAGCCGATTGCTGACGTAATGTTAGAGCAGTATACGATACGTAACCCAATCGCATGATTTCTGAACAAATTCTCGTGAAAGACTTGGTAGAAGTAAACGACGTTTAGCCTATATCGTGGTTTTTCAACGTTGGCGCTGTCAAAAAGGGAGAGAAAGATGGTACCATTTGGAATTGACTTTTCTGAGGTGAGTTATTGGCCCGTAGTAAACCCCCTATCCGGGCATCTCTCTTGGCGCGGACCGGAGTTGAGGTCATCGCGCTTCAGTCCAGCATCCAGTGAGCTATTGATTTGGATGTGGATCGCTTCCTAGACATGATAACCACATGTGTTCTAAAAAAACCAACCACTTGAGCTGGTCTGGTCAAACGGATAGGCGATTGGAATCACACGCGCGCGGTCGTGGTTCGACACCGGCTAGCGCCACGACTTTTGCTGCATCGCCGGACAATCTTTGATAGCGGCCACTGTCGAAGAAAATCGATGATGACCGCTAACAAGGATATCACTTAGCAAATGGACAGATAAAACAAAACTGACATATTTTGACGGAGAATTCATGAAAAACTGAAATTTTTGGAACATAAATAAAACGTAATAAATAAGTAGATTTTCTTCTAAAGTAGTTTTTACATGAAACTAAGATTGCTCTGCAAAAAAAGAAGAAAACTTCTATCCTTGCTTTTGTCGCCAAAATCAGCTGTTCATCGATCCTTCCCTTTTCGGGCGCCGGTATTGTGCAGTTTTGCGCCGATTTTTTCTGCATTTTTGGCAAAGTTGTGTGTATCGTAAGTTACTCAGGAGCAACTTATGTTAGATGCAGTCACCTCTTGTCTGCGTCTCCTCTTCTACACACTATTTGGATCACTCTAACATCCGTTCACGTTGAGGTGACTCGAACGTGAACTGATGTGGAAGAGTTGACTGCGGCAGGTGGACAGATGGTCAACTATCAGTTGACTTGACCATCTTATAGCATGGGAACGTGGACGGTGATCAGTTCACCTCACCTAAGGTGAACTGATGGGATAAGTTGAGTTCACCTCAACTGATCGAGCTTTACTACGGGCCATTGTCACAGGTTCATTTCATCTTGGCGGAAAAGCTAGGAAAGCCTCATGCGCATCGATTGTCCCATTTGTAAAAAACCCACCAAGGATTATATGAGCAGGAAAAGAGAGCCATCTCAGATAATCGCCGGGAGCAGGCGGTCCGCAAACTCGCGCTTTTCTGCAAGCGGTCAGCAAAATTTTGAGGCGTGGCAAAACCTTCAGTTAGCGGCACTTCCGTTTTTTGCCAACGAACTGCAATACAAAATTTTTCTGTAAGCGCTCGTCAAATATTCTCTTTCAGCGAGCGCAGACCAAACTTTCAGCAGGCGCTCAGGCTCTTTTTAGGCAGTTTCGGGCGTACGCCGAGAAAGGTAACACTCTACATAACAGAGGTGTGAATCTAAATTGAATAAGCCTTAATTGCTCTCTAAGCATTCGTCTAAAATTTCGCCAAAATTTGTCCAGATATCTGCAAGCGGACCGCAAGAAATCAGCGAACTATTTTTCCGGTGCCCGCCTGCACATAAATCACATGGCCAGCTGCCCCTAGCGATTATCTGAGATCGTGATTCTGGAAGTGTCGAAAGGCAAGACGCATTGGCGTATCGACATCAGAGCCTACACCTCAAATATGTCCATTCTGGACGACTGGACATTGAAACGAGGACCTTAAGAGTCTACCTACCCCAAACAAGGGATTATAGTCTAAAAGCATGCTACGACTCAGATTGCTCCGGAGATAAAGCTTCCACATCGGACATTCCTATACACTTGCTCTTTTGTAGGTAGTTTTCGAGAAAAAACTCTCAGGTTTTATCAAAGCAATGCTGGGTTGTTTCCAAATGTATGTAGCGATGATACAAATCTATGCAAGCGAATTTTTCAGACTTCTACAGGCTTTACTTTTCAAGAAATTTAGCGTAAAACCAAAAAGGCACATTTTTGTATTTTTGGTCCATTTTTGGTTCTCGTACTCTAGCCAAGAAAAAATTCCAGCGAATATGTGATTGCTTGATATGGAGAGCTATGTATGAGCAAATCTGAGGTCCGTAAGGCTGAGGCCGATTTTCAGGACTTTTTTCCGTTATGGCTCCAACCTTTTTATGAGTCGTTCTTTTGGCAGATGTTTCATCAGCGAACATGTGATTGCTTGATGTGGAGAGTACACCCCATCACCTTGGAGAGCTTGTTTAATTCTTTGAATGATAGCTAGGAAAATGCATTTATATTGCATCAACTTATCATTTACCGTCAGCGTTAGATCTCTTACAAAACGACATCGAAGGTTGGGAACTGACAAATCTTCTTGGTAGATGTAGAGTGTGTGTCATAGGCTACTTTTCGTCATCGATCGATATCGATTTTATTGATTTTTCAAAAAGTTCGAGCTACGGGGCTGGGAGTTGGCACAGGGGGTAAGTGAGCACGCCGATTACGAATATATTATTGACAGGGCCGGGCGGAGCCGGGTTTGCCAGCTAGTCCTAAATAAGCTACAATTCTCATTCTTTATTGTAAAGCTTGTAGCTCACGAGGGAAGCATGTTTACGAAGGTGTGTTAGATGAGATGTACACCATATCGGGAATACCTGATAATCTGCTCCCTTATCTGCGGAACCATGATGGACGAGGAGATTTGAGCTTTTATTGAAGCCATACCTTCGATAGTCTAGAGACAGGGCGTCAAAAGTGAAGGCTTTTTGAACATCTGACGTCACAAATAGTGAAGGTTGTTTAAAGATTATCACAGAAGAGTGACATAAAACACATATAAAAAGCAGAAGAAACTGCTGAAAACCGGATAAAAACGCTGCAAAGAGGTCTGAAATCTTTCATTTGGCGGCATTCCAAAGTGCGAGTTTTCGCTCCAGGACCAGCAATTCGCAACACGGGGTTTTGATTTTTAATGCGTCCTTTAAATTTTTACCCCCGCATTGACGTTCCTGTTTCTTGGGACGTTGTCTGGATTGTTGCGCTTATTGTTCTGAGCAACAATCACCCAAACTGGAAAAAAAATCGATGCGAAAGCACTGAAAGGTAACGAAAAACGCACTTTTTACGATTTTCCGCAAAAAATTCCAATAATCGAAGAGGTAAGGGCTGGGTGGTTGTCTGCATTATGAACAGAAGCAAGATCTATAGAATGCACGAAAAAACCGCGTGAAAATAGTTAAACTAGGAGAAAAACAAGACATTTTCGAAAACAAGGTTTTTGCCGGGTTTTTCGATCAAATCAAAAATTGTGGTTCTGGGACGTTGTCAGCGTGAAAATAGAGATCAAGAGCTTCAAAATGATATATAGCTTGCTAAAATTGGGTTCGAAACAGCGAAGAAAAGGGTACCAGAGCCAAATGCCCAGCGCCCCGCGTTTGGGGTAGCGAGGTAGCGCGCAACGCGCGGAGACGCAGACGAGCAGCGGAGACAGACCAGAGCCGACGGGACACTTGGCTCTGGTAGCAGATCTCCGCGGGGTCTCAACGAAACCCTGCAACATTATATATCACTAGCTGGCTTACCCGGCTCCGCCGTATGTTCCGAATAGAAAATTCCATTTCTTAACCGATCCGGACCAAACTTGGCACACATACACTTCGGGCCCCGGCGGGTGTCACAGTCCACTTTTCGTTATCGATCGATGTCGATTTTGTCGATTTTTTGCATTCGAGCTAGGGGGCTGGAATTTGGCAGGGGGTGTAATCGAGCATGCTGATCACCCCCACGAGGGTGATCAGCATGCTCGATTACCCCCTGTGCCAGCTCCCAGCCCTGTAGCTCAAATTTTGCAAAATCGACAAAATCAATATCGATCGATGACGAAAAGTAGCCTATGACACCCGCCGGGGCCCGAAGTGTATGTGTGCCAAGTTTGGTCCCGATCGGTTCATAGGTACAGACATACAGACAGACAGACAGACAGACATAAAGACAGACAGACAAACAGACATTCAGCTTTATACAATATATAAGATTCTGATCGCCATGACACGACGAGGAGAACTGACAACGTCCCAAGCTTTGAAGATCACTCATTAACGAGATAGGCTAGCGTTTTCGTGCGCGACTCTCTGCGCAAGATTTCAGCGTAGTTTCTAGTTTTTATTTGACTCCAATAGCTTTCCTAAACTTCTGAAACTCGTTTTTATTCAAATGAGAGGATAATTGAGAAATTTTGTCTTGAATTCTGGCGAAGATTCCAGAAAAACCTTCTTTTTAAGGTAAAAAAGGTTTTGAAAACGCAAATTCTCTGTTTCGTTGAGATAACTAAAGACATTATTCCCTACATTTGCTACATTAACACTCGTTCCGATATACATCTGCTCCAATCGGAATCAGGCCGAACCGTCGGAGTAAATTTGTGCGCTCGCAGCGCTAACGGTCTGTGCTGCATGTGCGCGCTGTCGGAGAGAGCAAAAGGATTGAAGAGAAAGCAGAGAAGCAGGACGTGGGCGTGATCGCGAAACCCTAGAGATGCGCACTCCCGCCTTGCCAGTTTTGGCCTGGTCAGGATTGGGGCAGACTGTAGTCAGGATAATAACATCCGAGGCTTCGCCTCGAATGACCTCTGTTTTTTTCCAGGTGAAGGTTTTGTTCCCCCATGGCCCTCAAAGTGAAGGTTACCAGAGTACGTGGCTCTATGTATTGAGGGTATGATTGAAGCAAAAAATTACCTTTGCAAATAGGACAACAATTGTCATACTATCTTCTAGCGCTTCAATGCAAATGAGAGTTATCACAGCACTTAATTTAATAAACGCTCTAAGATAAAAAAAGTATATCGCACTTCGTTTCTTTACTTGAGAGCTTTTTTTTTTGAAGATTCACTCACAGATTTCAACAGTTCACTAAATGCACATTCGCTTTTTTGCCCCCCTAAAAGCTCGTAACTCCTTTCCCACAAACGTTCCGCGAAAAGGAAGGCAGATTTGGAGTCAGCGTTTTATGTTTTCCGATATGGTTCACATCATTCAAAAAGGCCACTTCGACTAAACATGTCAGCCAAAAGCAGCGAAGCATATTCTTGCAGGAAATTTTCAGGATTTTGTAGCTGAGTTCCAAATTGAGATTTCAGTACTTTAGTCATTACAAAAAATTTGTCAAGAAATGCATGAAATAGGCTTAGTGAATAAACCCACTCTCGGCTTCCACTTCTTTCCCATTTGTTTCTTGAATTCCGTTGCTTTCAGCAAACCTCCAAGAAGACCGCTCCGAGCTAAAAAAAATAAGTAATCCTTTCAAAGAGAATATACATAACCAACATACAAGAATATCACAAAGTGAATTTATATTTTCAGTGTTGTTTTCAATGTGGTACACGTTCGTCAAACGCAAAATTGTCATACAAAAAATCATCTTTTGCAGTCTACTCATGCCGACAAGTACGCACTTTTCTTTTGACCTTCAACCGAGTTCGTGTAGAATTCTATTTCGTCTATGATTTGATAGAAGACTTAGCGTTTGATAATGTAAGAGCTTCAGAACGAACGTCTAACAAATCAAAGTTATCAACCTTTTCCAATGCGTCACTCGCTCCACATTCGAGAGATGAGATTCTGGCGACTTGTGTTGTGATCTTTGCGAGTAGTAAGGTATGTGATCTATTTGGTACGTACCAGTGGGGTATTTTATTACTGTTAGGTTCAGTTCATCGCAAAGATCATACATCCACAAGTCGAATATATCTCTTCTCTCGAATGGGGCCAGCTGCGACATCATCTCAGAAATTTATGACTGCTAAAACTGCTTACCTTTCTTCGTCTTCACTATCATCCAAATAGACGTCTAGTAGTTTGCGATCGTCAGTATTAGAACGCTTTATAGCTCTACTCAAATCAAGACCCAAATCCTCATTTCGAAATACACATACTGCCATGTTAGCGTCGAAAGCATCTCTGAAATCTCCCACTGAAGCACATGCGTTACAGGAAGAAGGAGAAGTCTACTGGATTGTGCCAAAATAGTCGTTCAAGTCATTTAATGTCTCTGTTGAAATACAGCAACGATGCCAGTTTGATTTGAATCCTATGAGGATGATGTTCGGTTTGAGATGACCAAGCCCACATACCTAAAAAAAAATAAGACGATAAAACAGAGTGCGAAACTCATTTATAATGGGCTTACTTGGAGTAACGACTGAGCACCTGCTCTTAGGCTGACATTAGCGACGGAAACGTAAAACGCCTTGACGTGTCTTTTTCGCAACCATCCGCTTAACTGACGTTCCATTTCCCTCATGTTAGAGTATACCCGTTCAGAAGTATTGTGCTGAAGTCAGTTGCTGTCATGCAACTACTTGGACTTGATTCAAATATTGTTTGAGGTACTAACAAGGGAAGTTCACTTAGTCGAAGTGGCGATTCGGAAGGAGATCTATACCTGTGGAAAGAGCTTATAAAGCTGATCTCAGATATACCTTCTATATCTGCGATGCGTTGTTCTGAAAAAAGTTATGAGCTTTTCTAAACCTAAATTTTCGTGCATTTTGAGTCGCAAAATCATGATAATCGTTACACAGAAGTGTGCAAGCTTGACCAAACCACCTAGTAAGCATTGTAGGTCTTATTCGAGCTCACCCGAACGCTTTCGAGTGTTTTTCGACCATGTTGTTCAACCACAGGTCGTCATTTCATTCCTAGATCACACTTTCATTATGTATACAAAAAAGCCCCATAATCTCCATCTAGAAAAACGCGTCGCGTCGAAAACTTTTTGGAAACAACCGATGAATAGAACGTAAAAAGATGTTCTCAGATATACCTTCAATATCTGCAACGCGCTTTTCTAGATGGAGGTTATGGTTTTTTTGTATATATAATGGAAGTGTGATCTAGGAAGGATATGACGGCCTGTGAATAAACAATATGGTAGGAAGACATTCGAAAACGTTCGGATGGACTCGAATTAGACCTACAATGGTTACTAGGTTACTTGCTTAAGCTTGCACACTTTTGTGTAGAGATTATTATAATTTTGCGACTCAAAATGCACTAAAATTTGGCTTTAGAAAAGCGCATAACTTTTTTCAGAACAACGCATCGCAGATATAGAAGGTATATCTAAGATCAGCTTTTTAAGCTCTGTCCACTGGTATAGATCTCCTTCCGAATCGCCACTTCGACTAAGTGAACTTCCCTTGTAAGAAGTTTTCAAGTTAAGTTGATTTGATGAGTCGGTAAAAATGTACGACCCAAGAAGAAGATACCAACCGGGACAATGTGTCCGCAGATCATAAGAGACGATCCCTTTGTGATACTGTATGCAAAGTCAATCAAAGAAGGTCTCGCGACGACGTTCCCACTCAGAACAAGGATCTGTGGCCTGGAATGTTTCATATAGACTTAACTTCCGCCTTGAATAGTGCTTTAAAGAACCTGTAGTTTTTGACGTGGTCTTCAGTATGTGATAGCCTGATCATTCCTGTCAGGGCGCTGTTATAGTTGTGCGCTTGCGCGGATGAACCCCAATTTACGTCTAAAATTTTCTTTATCTCTAAAATAACTGACAAGTGGAATGAAACATTACCTGGCTTGCGATACAGGATGTAGATGAATATAGCTGCGAAACAGACGAAGGTAACAAGAGCCGTAATCCAGCTCATTATGAACATCATAGCAATGCATAGAAGTGCACCAAACAGTGAAGCCCACATATTATAGAATCGGAATCCGGGACGGAAACCTGAACATTCGCACAGGGAGATACAAAATCCTCATTTTGATTGTTGTGGTATGATTTGTGCATTCTCGGGAGATATGGAGTTTGCGCAGGTGATTATTTTCTTATTCATTTGCTTTGCTATCGTTGTGCTGTTCCAAATTTCTTTTTCGAATAGGGTAGAGTGACATTTTGACTAGAGCTTCCTCGTTCTAAGAAAAGTCTTTACGATGTTTTTTGAACTGTTAACGTAACGCTAAAAACGAGAACTTTTTCTCCAAATCAGCTATCATGTAAATGAAAATTGTAGTTTGCTATCATATTTCATCTCATGTAAACCATTCTCAGAAATTGGACTTTACCAACTGTAGGTGTTCACCTCCTTGGTCTGCCAATGATCTAAATGTATACCAAAATACAGAGCTAGAAATTATATACTATATTTGTAAAATCTCTTAGGCTTGGAGTAAACTTCGCGCGATTTCAATCGCCACGCAATCGTGCAATTTGTCAGATGTCTCCAGATCCAACACTCGCAATCTACAAATGCATAGTGTGTATAGCTTTCGTAGATAATATGCACTATCTTCTGTACATTCAGAATGCGTTCACGATGACTTACAAACAGTTACAGTTTTGCCAAATTGTCGCGCGACTGAGATTGCTTGAGTTATGCCTGGAGCCATGCACAACGATGTTGAGCGAAAATTGCTTGTCGGAAATGGAGGCGTCCTAGATAGTATTTCTAAAAGTTAGACTCTCACACTTGCAATTAGACTTCAGTAGCTTAACCTGAAGCTAACAGCAAATATGTGATGTTAAGGTGTGGCGTAACGTTGAGTGAAGACGAGTCCACCATAGTGGATCCGCCATAGTGCTTTCTCAAAACGTTGAAACCACGCACACTTTATGTTGTTTGCCTTGTGGGACTATGCATTTTACGAATAGATCGGAAATTTTCAACTAGGATTACGCAGACTGTCATCTTTAGTTTATTTGCGGTAGTCCCATGGGGCTGCCAAGCATACTTTGGATGAATCAAATGATTATTCGATCATTCGAATAAATCACGAACGTGAGTATTAAAACATAATATGTTTAAAAACTTCTATTTTCGAATACTATTCATCGAACAATAATCGACTTTCGCAAAATATTCTTAAATCCAAGGATAAAGGATTCGGCGTCTTCGGCAACCTCTGCGGGCATGCGCCGAACGCACACTACTTCATATTCGAAGAGACAGTTGCATGCGTGCGAGCCTATTACTGTGACTTGCGGGGGCCAGCCGTTTACCAAGTCAGTGCTTTTATCTTCCCAGATTACTCTGGGACCAATTTATCGGCCCCGGAGAGTAGAGGGCTTGGTTGGCCTAGGGGCGGGACCGAACCTGGGTCCGACTGGTCATAGTGGCGCCTTATAACACAACGCCACTCGTCCCTTATTTTGGTGGAGGTATTGGGACTCTTACATTACTTGTTCAAAATCAATGAAGCTCAAGACATTCGAGCTTCCATGAATTTAAACAAAGAAGGATGGTTGAGTGGAACATGTTAGAACATTCATTCTTCTTTAGTTCTTTGAAAAAGCGTTCTTAAAGCGCATAAGGGAACCCGTCGTAGCATGTTCTCTCCCCCCCCCCCACCTTCATCAGGTGAGAAACGACTCCGACCACCTTCACCCAATAGGAAAATCCCTTTTTTCTTGCAAACTGCATATTTTCTGGAAGCGCATAAACTCCACTCTAATAATTTTTTCTTGTCTCCATGCTCTCTTACTCAAAAAAATTATAGTAATGTTTATCTCACACTGTAAAAATCACTCACACCTTTTATCCAGAATCTGCAGTGGCTGTCACCTCACGCTAATTTTACACCCTTTTCAAATTTTGAAAGAAAACGAAGACAAAATCAGTGAATGGCTAAAGTTTTTTTTGGTTCCTTTAGCTTCTCATATAAAAAAATTACAAGCATTTAAGAGGTCTCACTTTTGGAAAGGCGACTAGAGGACTTTCAAGGTTTGCAAATCCTTTCTTTACTGGCAAGCTGAATGTTTCTAGAAGCGCGTGAAAATTAGACTTTAATCGCGTTTTTCCATATTCTTTTACCAGGAAATCTTTCATAATTTTTATCTTGTAAGGCTCTAAAATTAAGTACTATTTTTGTACTATTTTTTACTAGTAATCGTGTTTGCTACTTCATATGATCTGTATACAATCCCAAGGCAGACAATGCGGCTAATCCATGCAATCCTCAATCTTCAGGGAAGCTGGGGGCATTCCAGAATTTCTTGCATATTTTTAATTATCACACCCTCTTGAAGATCCAGAGCTGATCCATTACAGCTTTTATCATGAAATAATATTGGTCACATAAAAGTCGAAGGTGGATTGGTGACTGGCTTTCGCTGTTAAGATATCTGATAATCTTCACTCTTTTTTGATGGAAAGTGAACCTCATTTGAACCTCATAGCCTCGGCCTTTAGTCTCTTTTTCTTTAACCTTTCTTTTTTAGTCTCACATTTGACACTCTTCATCGCTCGTGGGTGAAGTCAGCTGGGTTCCAGTAGGGTAAAGTGGGCAGGAACTCATGTTACCATAGAGACTTCAGTGACTATTGTCCCAGTTTTGAAGCTTTGAACATGCCGGCTAAATTTGTTCGGATCGGATTCATCCATCTCTGGGACCCGTATTTTGTAACTACCGCAGCCTTGGCGGGTGTAGAGTCTTCACTATTAGGGCGGTCTAAAAGTAATGGGATACCTCGATTTTGCCAATTTCAAGGGTTTCTTCTTATAACGTTGAGCAACCGCCAAGAAAGACGTTTTCTGTATAAAATGTTTTTCGCCTATTATTCTGCTAACCACCTTGCACCTCCTTTTCTACAGTCCTTCTAACGGAGCGATCAGATAGACGTTTCTTTTAAACGCCATCCGAATTTGTGCTGCTGTACCTTAAAGTACCCTATGACGTACTCTTTGGAAGTGCTTTTCAAGCTGTTTCCAATGATCATTTCAATGTGCAGACATCATCGTTTTGTATAAAAGAGGCAGATTAATCGAAAAAATGCATTACCTAGCATAAATACTCAGGCTAAAGCTTATTTTGGCCCACTATTATTTTTGAAAATGAGGAAATCTCAAGATGAATTGCATACTTATGAATATAACTCATGGATGGTAAGAAGCTCTATCACGCGCTACTCGTTGAAGATAAGCTCATTTAATTACCCCGATGAAAGAGTATGTCCTCTTACACTTAATGATATATCTTCTGTTGCAAAGCATTGGGACCATAAAATTATCGCATGAACTGGATACATTCCCTTAACACATTACAGCAGATATATTTTGGCAGCCTCACTTGTTGTACTGCGGCGGCGTTGCTCCAAATTCGAAATCACTTGAAGTGAAGGGATTTAATTTTGAGCACGTCATAAAAATTTCGCCGCGCAACAGTGGCTATCTTTAGAACTCGATTTGAAGGTGATATGTATTAGGATCTCCCAATATCCAGTTGATTTTTCTCTTTAGAAGACATTTATTTTCTAGGTGTCCCGTACTTTCGGATCACTCTAATATTTCTTCATAAATTGGAGAAAGTAGGCGTGGCTCGCAAATCAGTTGCTAGTCCGAAACGTTTGAAGTGGGAGAGATGGGGGTGTTGAGGGAGGGGGGGGAGTTAGGTTAGACAAATGTAGTGTTTTCTCTTCTGTAACTCCGATGGGTTATAAAAACGGGGATGGCAGGTGAACATTCTAAAAATACCGTAGGAACAGAATATGTCATGCAGAGCAGCAGAGCTGAGAAGGGAAAAGAATGTTGTACGTGAGACGAAGTGGTGAGCTTGTCTTTATGGTGACAGTGGCCGTAGTCGGATATGCCAGCAATTGTTGCGAAATTATTCACGCACTAGTAGGTCGTGGGTCACCTAAGTTCAGGTTGCACCAGTCTTATGTGCACACGCTTCTTCTGCTTTACGATGATGTTCACAATTTTTTCGTGCACAATCTTCGAGTTTTTTACTGTCAAAGTATCTACGGGAGCAAAGCGTTCTATGAGGTAGAAAAAGTCAGATCACTGAGTCAAGCTACGAGGCATGTACGTCTATAATTTTACACCCTGTGCCAACTGTCCACGCAAGCAGAGCCGTTGCGGACTGCATATGCAATATCTTCGCTAATCCTTCAACATAGTTTTGACAACACAGTAGGGTCGCGCTAACGCAGAGGCCTCACTCTCCTTTTCTGCTTACTTTCAATGAGAAGCTCTAAATGTTTTTTGTAAATTTGCTCGCATGATTTTTGGACATTATATTGCTAACCTTCGGCGATAAAATCGGCTTGAGCTAACTCAAGCATTCATGAGGAAGCTAAATAAGAAGCTGCTGCGTTCATCAGTAATTTGCGATCTTGTTCGATTTGAATGCGCCCCTGAGTTAGGGGTCTTGAGCTTTTGGCGGCGTACGATAGTAGGACCCGCTATCAAGCTCAAGTCGTGGCGCAAATTAGATTCAGAAGCAACATAATCGCTACGAATATAAGAGCCACGAGGATCCCTAGGCAGCAACGCCATTTCCAGTAATGCCCGCTCATCCGTGCTCGTGGGTTCTCCGAAACGGGGATTGACGGGGTTTTTGCGTATACTCGAACTCCATATTCGAAATCGGGGACATGAGAAGGCTCCGGAACGACAAAAATATGGAAGCTGAGACTCTGGATGACGGTGTGAGAAGATGTATTATCACAAGCTATCATTGTATGAGTTTACCTGGTGAATCTGCAAATGAGGCATCGAAGCATGCGTAGTTGATTAGTGTATATGTAGCAAGGAAGAAGTTGGATATGAATGGAGCGATGGCATTCAACTCTCCTTAAATCAAAATTTTGCATGCGTTAAGCTCTCTGATATTTTGCAAGCACATATAAATAAGCTGACCTATTGAAATCACGCCCATAGCGATGATGAACGCAAAAGCATACGCTCTTCTAGGCTCATCGTTTTTTCCATAACCTTTAGCAAAATATTCAATTTTCGGGAAAAGGCGGTCCCGACATACAGCCTAAGTAGACAAAGCAGATAATTTTTAAAATCGTGCCAAAGTGATAAAGCATGCTTGAAACCTGCCAAAAAAGCGCTTAGTGTTCTGAAGTTATCGAAAACTATTACCTGGAAAATTTTCGGTGCGCTGATAAGAGATGCGAGCGCTGAGCTAAGTCCGGCGGCGAAAATTCCGGCAGTAATTAGCGGGCCAAAAAGTGACTCCATCTCAACGATCTGAATGGCAAAGCAAAACTGTTCAACGATCATTCACCATTATAGGTAAGTACAATTTCAACAAGAATCAAGAAGCCCGCGCAGCCATTTTTTTTTGGAGGTTTTCGCTTATTGCAGTATCATAAATATTAGGTTGAACCAAAAGTTCTGTCGCACTATTTTCAAAAAATCATAACTTCTTTCCGTCACAACAATTTTGCGCAATTAAAATTTTATTAGAAAGCGTAAAGCATGTAGTTTCCAAAGGTCCCTCGGAGACTTTTCAACATGCTCAGGTTGCAGAGATAAAAATGAAAAAACGCGATTATCCGAAATTGGGAATTTTCAAGCAAGAATTCTAGAAATTCAGAAACAGTGCGATAAAATCCAGAAAAGCCATTATCCTAATTTTTCTTACATTTGATTACTATCTGAGCCAAATTTGTGCTGATCGAGGTCTTCTTTCAGAAGTTATGAATTTTTGAAAAAAAATGCCAAAAAATCCATTTCTTAAGAATTCTTAGGAAATTGATTTTTCGGCATTATTTTTCAAAAAATCATAACTTTTGAAAGAAGACCTCGATCAGCACAAACTTGACTCAGATAGTAATCAAATGTAAGAAAAATCAGGATAATTTTCTGGATTTTATCGTACTGTTTCTAAATTTCTAGAATACTTGCTTAAAAATTCCGAATTTCGGATGATCTCGTTCTTTCATTTTTATCTCTGCCACCTGAGCATGTCGGAAATTCGCCAGGGAGCTTTTGGAAACTACATGCTTTACGCTGTCAGACAAAATTTAAACTACGCAAAATCACTGTGAGGGAAAGAAGTTATGATTTTTTGAAAATGGTGCGACAGAACTTTCGGTTCAACCTAATACTATCTAGAAGACTTTTCTTGTTCTTTCTACTGCTTACTAATTCTCGATGAAATAGCTTGCCAGTGATAAACTTTCAAGCCCCAAACTTGAGGTCAAGATGCAGTCAGGCTCAAGAAGAAGTTTCCGCGGAGAGGATTTCTCAATATTTCTCAAATTACCTGTGTTTGAAAGGGTGTAATGGGCTAACCTGCGCACATTTTTCCGCATAAAGAATCTTAATTTCAGAACTTTTTTCAAAGATTGTAAACAGCCCATTCATTCGACAAATGACAACAATCTACATATGATATCACTGATACTGCATACGTTAGGTGAGGAAAGAAAGCAGAAACCACCATCCAATTGGCTATTTTCGTTCGCGATAGCAAAAGAAAATTTAATATCAGAAAGTTGGCATAATTGCTCGCGCGGAAAAGAACTTCAATAATGGCTTTTTTTTGCCCATAAAAATTTCTACGCAGAAAAGACAACTCAAATTATCTCGAGCCACGAAGTAATCTCTTAAGTTTAGGCTAGTCAATGACGGTAGCTAAATATGTCTCTCTTTTTATGGGAACATTAGTACGTCAAAAGAGGCGGTCTTGAAGAAAACCTTGCAGAATTCTCCAAGTACCTCTTCTCTCTCACTTGACTTTTCCACATGGCATACTGTAACTGTGATAGCCATATTTCGGCTTAATCTGACAAAATTTATTGGTTCAAAATTGTTGGTCTCGAAAAGAGTTAAAACATTTTGAATAAGAAAATATGCAAATCGGACAGGACCTTCGGAACATCCTAGTATATAAGGGGTGTCCCAAAAAGATGTCCACATTTTTTCATCGGCACTAACTCTCCTGCCTGAACGTCTTTCGCCAAGCTTAGGGCACCATTCTGTAGAGCGAGGTTCAGCTTAGATTTACAACATGGAACCAACCTTCGATCTTTCTTCGTTATTGTAGGATAGGATTACGGAAGAAATTTGGGGAAAGATTTAGATTATTGAAAACGATATTTTGCCTCAGAAAAAACCAAACCAGAAACTCTTGTACCGAGACTAATCAAAGTGGTTGATTTCAAATATGAAAAATGCACTTCACTGTAATGCTTCTTTCATTAGTCATATCAAGCCTAGGGTAACAAGTATTTTTCCAATGTTCATCAGAACTGTAATCACAGCACTAAAAAATTTCAAAAAACTGGTAGGATGTTGTGTAGTGAATCAGCGCTCCTGAAAACCTTGCTTCACAAATCTCCAGATTTCTTCGAACTTCTTTCGAGGCCTATTCGCAATGGGGTTGTATGAAGTGGAGTTCATACCGTAATCATACGTAATGAAGAGCGATTGGTGATTCGGTCCATACTGTAAATCTAGGTTGAACCTAGCTATAGCTCTATAGCTACCCCAAACTCGGCAAAAGACTTAAAAACAAGAGTTATTAACAATAAAACAGTTTACACAACTTTTTGAGATATCCTGTTCGTTACCTGAAAATAATTCAAGAGGCCATATTCGCAACTTTTGGTAGCAGCACACTCTGGAGGTACAAAACTCGTGCCATTCCACATGGGAGGAAACACACCATCTGCATCCCTATAAATAAAGTAATGCAGATAGTCTCGGATAAGAATTGAAACACGATCCCAGTACTGTTGTTATCTGCGAACAATTCTCTCAAGGGAGTATGAGCAGCATCGAGCAAGAGGTGTGGCACACCGCTGGACACGACCCCCCCCCCCTCCCTAATTACTGTCTCAACACCCCTCCCCCTTCAATATTTTCGTTTGCCTACCGTGAGCGTGACATAAAGGCTCTAAGCACCGCTGGTAATGTATTCGTAACTACCGAGTCCAATCGTCCCCATGGGTCCAGTTCAAGCGAATTCTGAGGGTTCCGTTATTCAACCACCCAGGTGAAGTGACCTTTTTCGAACATGGTCAACCATATTTTAAAAGTAAATTAGCCACCTCTTTTTGTATTTAATGCAAAGCACTACTCCATGTTGGCTACACCATGAATCCTGCATCAAATATCCATCAAACTCCGGGATCAGGAGCCAGCCAAATTCTCGTTCGCCCCATTTTCCGCAGTGCTTGTGCTTTCAGCAACTATTGCTCAAACGAAAGAAGACGAATTCAGCTCTCACTACTCTCACAAAAACTAAGAAATTATGGCTATCGAACTGTATATAATTTGTTCTCTAATATTCTTTTTGAAGGTAAGTTAATGGAATGTGGTACAACCTCAGAAAAGCTGTGGCTGCTACGCTCCATTAAGTTAGGTTTAAACCATTCGAATACCTGCGTTTCTTTGCTGCTGCTTGACCTTCTTCTTCATATAGCAGGAATTTCATTTGAAATTGTCTCTTCTAAGGAAAGATATAATCGTTTTTCTTTACCTATGCAAATGAAAAATTGCGAAAATATTGGGTCACGGTAACATGCCAAGTCTATGCCCTACGTGAATCGCGAGGGAAGGCGACATGATATAAGTTTGATAGTCTTAGCCTTTAGGTAATTTACATTAAGGTGATCTGACTCTGTTTGATCTTCTTTGGTCTGAGCTAGTGAAGGCGAAATATGAACCAAATGGGATTTTGGCTTGCTCTTAGAGGCAGTGTCCAGGCAAATCTGGGCATATGGGTTTTTTGCCTGGAAACTGTCGAGGAGGCTCTAGCTAAGGCACTGCCCAAACTGCAGCCAAATGGTTCATTCACGGCTCAGAAATCCATCTACAAACACTCCGCTGCTGCGACGTGACCATAACACTCAGGATTGGTCCCAGGGCGAACGTAATGTTAGAGTGAGCGAAGTCGTTTTTGGGTTACGGTCGCCACGCAGGCGCGGGGTTTTCGGGGACGTATTTTTCAGCCGTATTGAACAATTCGCGCTGCCCTTTGGGCAGTGCCTTAGTTAGGACCTCCTCATCAATTTCCAGGCGAAAGAGCCATGCGCTAACTGTCGGGTTACACACAGGGAGCAGGGCTCCTGTTTCGAAAATTTTATCATTGTGCAGCCAAAAATTGCTAAAAATCATATCAGGGAGCGCGTTTGTCTACGTGATAAGCGCAACAGTCCAATAAAAAATTACGCTCAAAGAAACGAAAGCTCTGTGAAACCCTTATCAAGGATGTTATGTATGACCAGGGTCAAGCGTGGGGTGCGGTACGCCACACCTGGGGGGTCGTATTGAGGAGTCAAAAGGGGAGGGGATCGTAGTTGGGTAATCTGATATTAGTGATAACATGATATTTGTATTCATATCCATAATTAGCATGTCAATCAACCCATGTAGACAAAGTGTGAGCGAATTCTGAAGATTTAAGATACTAGGCTACATAAATGAAATTCAAATTCCAACATGGTTAACTTTGTTTCAAAGGTGAATTAGCTATCCGTTTTTGCACTCAAGACAAAGCACTACTCCTTCTTTGTCCACCTCAGGAATCCCGCTTCAGAAGACCTGCAAACTGTGGAATTAGAAGCCAACCAAAATCTCGTTTTTCCCATTTTTCGCTTTTGATCGCTGTGCTTTCACCAAATATTACTTAGAGCTGAGAAGACATATCAGGCTCCAAACAGTCCTATGGAATCTACAAGGCTTAGGCTATCGATTCATATATATACTGTCCGCTAAAAATGCTTTTTTGATATAGTTAATGGGGTGCGGCACACCCCCTTAAAAGCTGCGGCTGCCGCAGCTTTTAAGGGGGTGTGCCGCACCCCCTTAACTTGCCAGAAAGCGCTGCACTGCTGGTATTATTGAGCATTATTGATTATTGAGCACATAGCTTCTTCTTGCTACACTGGAAATGAGCCGAACGCCCCACCCATAATAAAATTATGGCCCTTTCAATATGCCCATTCAGATCAAAATCAGCCGTCAAATTACATGTGATTTTACAGTGCAGTCACAGATATTCGGGCGTACAGCTCTCAGAAATCTGAAAACTGGTTACGACCCCCCCCCCCCTGACTGCTGTCTTAATAAGACCCCCCCCCCCCCTGAACTATATAGAAAACTATATATAAACTATAGAAAACTATATATATACTATATAGACTATATATAGAACTATATACTCTCTAGAAAAAGCTGGTGTCCTCCAGAATGTCACACTTTGAGGTCCAGAGGTTAAGAGGAGGAAGAAGGGGTCGTTTGAGGGCTTTCGTTGGAGGAGGGGGGGGGGGTTGTTTTCGAAAGACTTGTGCCTGACCTCTTTCTCAACTCTGGTAATGCTATCTTAGGTATATAGTTCAGGGGGGGGGGGTCTTATTAAGACAGCAGTCAGGGGGGGGGGGTCGTAACCAGCGATCGTGTGCCACACCCCTTGCTTGACCCTGTATATGACTTTTACAGCGACAATCTCTTCGCATGAATGTTGCCTAAATTCATTTATATGAATAGAGTAGCAAGGAAATACAAAAAAAACACGGTCAAACTTTGCAACATGCTTCAGAAGGGTCATATTTTACACAGTTTTCTCTAAGTCATTGATTCTCTTTATTTTATCGTTTATTTCCTAAAGCATAGCGGGCGGAGCTTTGCCGACGTTTGCCAACGTATGCGCGTGGCAGCTTCTGATACCGAGAGAGTACAAAAACTAATGCTTTAAGGAGGTTTAACAAGTTTTCCAACGTGTTAAAATGTCTGCAGGGCCACGCCCGCTATACGCATGGGCGCCTATACCAGCACGGAATGATGATGATGAATTGTGGTTTCGTATTCGTTTTAAGATTTCCAGTTGCAAAAGCTTGCCATTCCAACGTTTCTATTCTTGCCCCGCTCTTCGCACCTACCCAAGCATTGCAAACAGTGAATCCCTTCCTTTTTTTACATCAAAAAAAGTCCTGGCTCGATCTTTGCACACTCTATAGCTCTGAAGTGTAGGTTATGACAATGGTTAAATGGCTTGTTACAAGTCAAATCGAACTCGTCAGCTTCACAATTTTTTACCTTATTCTAATATAATAGCTGAATATCTCCATCAAAAGACATCATCACATCATGAATAGATTTAAAAAATTACATTGAGCATAAGCGTTTTAAAATGTATGGCTGCCAAAAATTTATATAGCTGAATCAGTTTATCAATCAATTTATATAGCTGAATACGTTTATACGGCGAATCAAGATCAAGGTACAGTCGAGTAAATTTTCCGCTTGATATGGTGTGCTTGCACAGAAGGTGAAATGCGCTAAAATTTGCGCGTCAACAAATAGCTTCGACTGTGACGCGGGCCAACTGCGCGCGCCAAATGCCGGCAATAGTGGCGTGGCTATTTATTCACGAGCAAATTTCACCGCATTTCACCTGTGCAAGCACACTATATTAAGCGGAAAATCTACTCGACTGTACCCAGTGTCACCAGCGCTACTTATCGTTACCCTTATATAAAACCTTCTTTCCTTGAGACAAACCCTTTTCACACCTTTTCACTATTGCCTATAAACATCCTATAATCCAAGTGGACCTTTCTATAGAAAAAGCTTTCACATTTCATGGGAGATTTGAAACATTGTTTTATGTACATTGCAACATGTTTTTCAGGAATGTAGAATGGAATAGAAAAATGTTGCAGGAAAATGATGCAAAAAATAAAACACTCATACGTGTGGCACACCTTACACAAGTACTTCCTGTTATCCATAACGTTGCTATGTAAACCACTGTACAAATTCCGATGGCTGAAAGAGTACCAAGCGGTATCGCTCGCTTAAATTGCCGTTTTGTAGAAACACATCATTTTTATGAGATTCTATCAAACCTGTGGATCCGCTAAATCCCCACTGATGTTTGCACCACCCATGATACCAGTTGCTGCTGGGAAATAGATAGCCAGGAGTGAGATGAAAGTTTCACCTCGAAAGTGCGGCATCAAATTAGAGTTCAAGGTGTTTACTGGAGATAGATTTTGACACTCCACACCACTAGGTTCAGTTTTAAGTAAACTTACGGCTATATCCAGTACCCCCTCTATGTGTCACTGTCTCGCTGGGTTTCAAAGCAGAGCCAATCCAGAAATTGACCAAAGAAGCTGACAATACCACCAAAAGCACTATCTGCATCTTCGATTCGAATCCAGTGCCAATGAATATGATTATAATCAATAAGACGCATGTTGCTGGAAATGTTCTCAGCATGTCAATCACGAAAGGTGAGTTAGCCTTTGATTCAAATGGCTTGGCGGCTGAAAGGCGGAGCTTTGTGAAAGTCTCTCCTTCTAGTCGCCAAGCCAGTTGAATCAAAGTATATATTAAGAGATAAGATTTATGTAAACCATTATTTACAAATGCTGAAATCTCATATCGTCTTCAATAAGAGCAAGTAAAGGGTGTTCATCTAGAGGACCTTAGAGGCGAGGTTCAGGGGGATGAATCTGAGGAAGTCAAGAAGTAAATCATACTGCTGCGTGGTCGCTTCAGCCATTGTTTCTGGAGTTTGCACGTTTATTCAAACTCAGACTGTGTTTTTCGACCGCCGACGTCGGTAACCATATTCTTTCCCTTTTTCCTTTTCATGGGTCCCTCTAAATTCGTAAAAAAGTTTCTGTGTTCAATTTATGTATGTTTGAAAACTTCTTTGTGCGTAAACAACTGCGCTAAACTTCTGCCCACATATGTTTTCGACCGCGAAGGAGAGCATAGGCTTAACCCTTCCTTTTGACTTTTGATTTCTGGTAAAAATGTCTTGTGTCAGCCGCTAACAAATCATCTACCCGATTTCATAAACAACAGCAGTAGAGCTCATTCATGTGCGGTAGGGCGCGCCATAGCGATGAGTCAACTTACAGGGACCCTTGCAGCACACATGGTGGTTAGTTGAAGAGAGTGCGGGAAGGAGGGGGGGGGGGGGAAGTTGGGGTATCTCAAAGCTAGCATGTTGGAGGGTGAAAGAAGTCGGACATGCTCGGCGTGGTTGAGAAAAGAACGAGATGCTTCTCTCTCCATACAATTCCGTGCTGTATCACAGCCCTGACCAAGCGGGAACGGAGATGCCAATTAATATGAATATTGATGTAAGACTCAACTTTTGTTTAAGGTAAGCGGTTTTTGTTTACAGATAACATTGCACGTAGACCGATTGAGCATCTTGTTCATATATTTCTCGGCCCCGGAGAAGGATCTAGGCTACTTTTTGCGGCTAATTGTAGGGCCATTTTAGCGATTTATTGATTTTAGCTCTTTACAACGAAATTAAGTGCTTATCCATATGCTCTTTTAATTTCCTTATAGATAGAAGTACAGCTTATTTCCATCTCGCCATGATGAGAATGCTATGAATCAAAGTGAGTAAGAAGAGGGGAAGGGAGTGCTGCTCGCACTATGTACCGGGACTCGTAGACTCACACAACAGCCAGGGTAAGCGGCCATGCGTTTTGTGGACCGCGGCAGCGAAAAAAAAACTATTCCATTATACCGACCCAAAAATTAAAAATCTCGGATTTCGCTCAAACTCGGTATAGAGGGGGGGGGTTATTTAATTCGTTGATGTCGAATAATGTCGAATACCACCGATTCCGTGCGATAGCGCCATTTTCGGGGGTTACGGTGGGTATACCGTAGGGGGTCAAAATCACAAGATTCTCTGAAACTTGGCGCACGGGGGTTATTTGACATGCTGAACACGAATACAATATTCATTCGTTACAGTAGCTCCTTATTCCGGGGTTACGCTGGGTATACTGTGGGGGTCAAATAAATCACTGCGGTACATCACTGCTTTCCACACAAGACCACTCCCGCGCGCGACACATCCTGCGGCGGCTTTTACTTAAGCGAAGCAGGGGGAGGAAACTTGCGACGTGCGTGACGTGTTAACACATTCACGACAGGGCCGATTTTTCGCTGACTGCCATTTCGGACCAGAGCATATTTCGCAAAATTGAGTTTGCGGAATATTTTCAGGTCACTGATGGGCCCTGTGGTCTGAAGTGTTGATCTTTTGAGAAGTACTCCAAGAGGTGTATGCAGAAGTTTACTCGGTTTGACCAAAAAGTTTCACCGTGTATTAGCAAAATCAAAAACTTCAGAAAGCATACGACCCACTGGTGGGTCGTATTGTCCGAAATGGCAGAACACGTACGACCCACCGGTGGGTCGTATTGTCGTGAATGTGTTAAAATAAGTCCAATTTAGGGCGGCGCTGGAGACTGCCCGTGCGAAAGGCCGTCTCCAACAAATTTCGCTGAGACTCGTTGCAGGGTGGTTATTCGACATACTAAACACGAATATATTTACTCGACTATGTCTTAGATTTCAAGCTTTGAATCATCTAGCGGTAGTATTGGTAATGTATACCCATCGCAACTTCGAAATGAGGCACTACCGTAACTAATAAAGATCATAATCGGATCAGCATGTCAAATAACCCCCCTATACGAGGTTTCGGCGGGAATCGTGATTTTGGCCCATTACCGTATACCCACCGTAACCCTAGAATGTGGAGCTACCGTAACGAATGAATATCGTACTCTTGTTCAGCATGTCAAATGACCCCCTGCACCGAGTTTCAGAGAATCTTGTGATTTTGACCCCCCTACAGTATACCCACCGTAACCCCGAAAAATGGCGCTATCGCACAGAATCGATATGGTGTTCAGCATCAGCGGATCGAGTAACCCCCCCCCCCCCTATACCGAGTTAGAGCGAAATCCGCGATTTTTAAATTTTTGGGGTCGGTGTACTGGAATAGCGCCAAAGATCATTGAGTTTTTGCGGCCCGCGCAGCAGCATACTAACGGCGCAATGGCCGCAAGCTCGCAGATTTTTCGCGAGTCCTACAAGACTGCGGGAAGGGGGGGGGGGTTTCACTGAGTGTTTTTGAACAACTATTTCTAAAAGTGGCATTGAACGTCCGGCATCTGGACCCTCTAACGCTATCAACTTCTTCTGAAAAGCTGCTTAGCAAATAAGAAAGTTGGGTCTTGAATTGGCGCAACAAGACGATGATAAGCATTTGTGGCAGATCGCAGCTGCCAGTTGGGATCCTTCCCCCGTCAGTCCACATGAAATGACCTTTCAACTAAAGTTTCAGACATTTTTGAAGAGTAGAACTCAATTTACATTTACGACATTCTTGATCAGATTGGCTTAAGCTCCTTCGTTATAAAGATCATCCAGAAATTAATTTACAGATTTCTAGAATTTATGTTTTGAGGACGCGGTATCTGAATTCATAGCTCAAAGAGCTTGTCACCATTTGCAATAAGATGATTTTTCTGGCCCTGCTCGCTTTTAAAAAGAAGAAATAAAGTAAATTATTCGTCTACAATCCCTTAACGACCACTGTACATTTGAGAAGCGAAAAATTAAGCAAATGAGCGTAAAGAGGCAGCTGGGTGCACTTTGTAGCAATTACATATATGGTTTAAGAGCTCAAAAAGAACCGAGGTTTCTGCGAATAACCTATTCAGTTTAACCGAGGGTACTATCCAAGCATCCGACGTCACTACGTCATCTTTATATAACATACCCCATCCTATTATCCGGACAACCCACAAATCCGAGGCGAACATGGCATTGTGCTCTTTGAGCACATCTCGCAGTGTCTCACCAAAGCCAACGACATACATTGCTGCAGCAACAGCGTTTGCTATAGAATAGATCACGCCTATTGAACCACCAAACTCGGGACCGAGCGAGCGGGATATCTGCAATTATTTGGATATGGCAACAACTATATCAAGAGTACTGACCAAAAAGTAGGCGCCGCCTCCTTTGACAACTCCATTTGTGCAGATTGCGCACATGGAAATAGCAGTAATGAATGTTACAAAACCTGCTATCAATATTATGACGCTTCCAAGAACTAAACGAAAATAAACAGTAAGCATCTCAGAAACCAATGAAGAAAGGGGCTTACTGAGGCCAGCTTGCCCTGCTACCCAACTGACGCGTATATATAACATTACGCCAAATATATTAAGGACGCATCGTATCAGAACTCCCTCTACCCAGCCAAACTTTACGCGTTTATTCTAAAAGGCCACATAAATTCTGCGAAATAATGCCTATAAAGATGGAAAAGTTGCTTGCCTGTTTTTGCGAAGGTGAAAATTTGCTTAAAAGTGATTTAAAAGTTGATTTTTTCTTTTGCTCCACTGGCCCACCGTCTTGCTCCTATGTTTGAGAGCTCCAAACTATGAAGGTTGTCAGAAAAAAAGCACATGCCTTGACTAAATCGATTTTAGTCTCTTCTGGTGCGACTTTATTTCCATGAATAAGCTGATCCATAGATGGTCGCACAACATCGACGGAGTTGCGGTAGAAATCCACCATAGGTGGACATTCGATTGTAGGGGCGTGGATCCGAATGCTAGAAGAGCTAAGTTGATGCAGGATGAATGTTCGTAAGTAACTCACTTTCTTCGTCCTTGTCCGTCTACATCCATTTCGTTTTCGTTCGATACTGTTGCAAGTTGAATTTATTACTTCTATAAAGCATTACCTCTACTCATTTTCCAACTACATACTGCCAATACCATTTATGACGATGACGGATTTTGAAGAGCTCTGTGGAACATCAGGAAACTGATTCAAATTTGTAGCTTTTTATCGTAAAAAATTGAAGCAAGCAAAACTTTCTTTGCAGCCTTAAACTATTCAGAATCGTTTTTTGTACTGCGCCCTATAATTTCAAAGAAAGATTTGAAATGTAAATTTGCCACATGGATGGCATGAGATAGGAAATAAGCAAGATGCATGAAAATGAAATATCAATAGTTATCTTTACAGAGTTTGACTTTGAGCGAATCAGATCAAAACGATGTGCCATAAAAAGCTACTTTTCAATCAATAAGCCGATTCATAATTATACGAATACCACTATTTGAGGGTTTCGTGGCTTCTTTGAATTCAAAAATCTGTCAGCGCTACGTGAAAGGATACAGCTGCAAACAGTACATACCTAGCGCGCATGCTTCAGACTCTTATTCGCCAAGATTTCAAATCATTGTTCGTCTCGTACGAAGGCTTCGAAGTACAAGGTTCGGGTGTGCTTTGATTTTGGACTGTACAAGGGAATTTTCCGAGAAACCAGTTTGCCAAACTTCGATAGTACCGATTTGTCAGGAGGCGCAAGAACTGGAACTCTCCAGGGACAGTGTCCCAATAGCAAACACTCGGAATCTTCCCGATATTTCCTCAAAAAGTTCTTCAAGATGCAGAAGTTCCAGAGGACTCGACACGTTGACGGCAACGCCGCGCAAAGGTGCGCGGCGGGCAGTCTGTCCCTGTGAGCCGCGCAGTGGTGCGCGGCGGCCTTAATTTCAATACTACCTGTCCAATCCTCTTAGTTTTTGTTCATAAAATCAACATAGGCTCAGACCAGTGGCGTACCGAGGGGGGGGGGGCGGGGGGAGGCGGGGCTCCCTCCCCCCCCCGAGAATGGGTCGCGAAATTTTTGAAAGTTACTTATGTGGGTTATAAAAATGTGCAAGTGACTTATTTATAATTGTAAATAATTAAAATAATTTTTAAAAAATTTTAAAAATTCAAATTAGCCTTGTCAAAAAAATTTTTTCGGGGGCGTGGCGTCAGCCACGCCCCCTTTATCTAGATTACAGGGGTTGGAGACCCGCGAAAATTTTGAGAAGCACCCCTAAAATTTTTTCGGAGTGCGTGGCTGACGTCACGCACCTTCATTGGAAAAAAATTTTTGTCGCCCCCCCCCGAGCCGAAATCCTGCGTACGCCACTGGCTCAGACGTACTTCATATATTAGCCCCGCCCCTTTTGGCAAACTCCGCCCACTCCCATGCCTCGCACAAAAACCCTTCTTGTTCACAAAAAGCATGGATAAGGTCGCAGATGAACGCAAAAACCTCAAACAACTTTTAGCTAGGTCCCGCCACCGGGCCCCGCCTCCTAAGTGGCAAGCTCCGCCCACTTTTCGAAAACGGCGGAATTCGCATGAATTATTTCTGACATTTTTGGCAGAGTGGGCGGAGCTTGCCGCATGGGGGCGGGGTTTGCACATCTTGTATTTCGTGCATGGCCTAGCGTAGGGATCAGGGCCCAGCATCGTTGGTTTGGGGTCAAACTGGACTTCGTTTTTGGAGTTAGAAGCAACGGGGACATCGTTTTTATGAGGTCCTGGAGGAAGCGCCAAAAAAAACAGACGAAAACACGATGTCAGGTTTCACGAGTTGAACGTGTTCTTTCGCAAGCGCGCGAATTTCAAATGCAAGACTCAAACAAACAAATGGCTTGTTTACAGCGCAAACAATCACATGGCTCCGAATTTGGGCTATGTGTATACAACATTACTCCAAGCTATACTATGTAAAAAGTTCCCAAAACTTATGTGTCCTAATATCCGTTCTCGAATTTGTTGGTTTCTAGACCAACTACCAAACCGACTGGGTTGGTTCGGAGCATAAATATCGGAGAGTTCACATAAATTTTGGACCTTTTTGATTTGGACGATTAGAACGGTCAAAAATCTAACTTATAGTGAAGACAGCAAATCAAACCGTTGCCTCTCTCCTTTTTTTGAGTCAAAAGTAGTATAATTCTACGCGTTGATAGATATCGCGCTCCAATCACTTGCGGTGTCCTTTGAGATATGTGGCGAAGAATGCATCGCAGGATTGTTGAGGCTACAGATTTGGTTGGCCTAGGAGATTCTCGACATTGCCAGCATCAAAATGGTACTATACCCAATGGCAGAGCCTTTAATCGACTCGAAATGTTTTCTTTTTGCTTCTTTGTTACATTACACACCTCAAAATGCGTTTTTTTCGCTTTTTTGTTGCTATTTTGGTTGATTAAGGGTTCCTCTACTGATTTTCACGTCGAGAGGGACTTCGTAAATTTTCGCGAAGTCATGGGGGACTTCGTTTCCTAAAAACCACCAAACCAACGCGTGCCAAGCCCTGGTAGGGATGCGCGGAAACGTCTCGTCGACAGGGACAGACCTCCAAAAAATGGCTCGTCGTCAAAATATTAAGCGTGAGGGAACTTCCCTCAGAGCTTCGCCATATTTCGTAATACTGCCGTACAGTTCACTGCATAAGTGCCATATGTTCGTAATTACTCATATGATAATCCGATATCTAATTTATCGCAAATGACGTATGTGTGATTGTTGAGTTTTTACTGATTTCATAATCTTTTGCTTTAAATCTCTCGCAAAGTCGACAAAGCCTTTGTTCGATTCTTTTTTGATGCTCCAGCGCTGGGTCTGGCACTGATGGTTTAGGGTCAACATGAGCTTCGTTATGCTGGTAAAAGCAAAAGAGGAAGTGAAAATCTGCTATTATATGAATCAGGCCGAACCGAAAATTTTGTCGCTTTGATATTCAAGAATTCGTAGCTACTCCCTATGTGAACGGCATTACTTACAAAAAAATCAGTGAATAGAAAAAGTTATCTACTTTCTAACGGCTATTTTGGGGCTCTTGGACGACAAGGACTTCGGAGATAAAAATTCGAAAATGAGAACCTTAACTCAAACTCCCGGTTTTCAAATTAAATCGCTAAAAAGCCGAAACGCCGCAAAAAAATTTGAGAGTATGTATATTTCTTATATGTTTTGCAAACTGTTCGTTCTAGCAGTGTCAAGCTTGTGCTGATCGAGTTCTTCTATGACAAGTTATGATTTTTGTGAAAAATGCAAAAAAAGTCATAGCACAATCTTGGCACCATTAGGGAAAACAGCTCACAAGACCTCCAAAGAGATGCTTTCAGGTTTTTCTGCAGCATTCCAGATTTCCAACGATCTATTTTCGAAAATCGAAATTTGAGTAGTTTTTATTTTCGAATTTCTATCTTTATAGTCAACTTGGCTCAAGAAAAGGGACTATAGAGATAGAAAGAATTAGAAAGTAGACGAGTTTTTCTTTTTAATGATATTTTTGTAAGCAACGTTCATATAGGGAGCAGTTTCGTATTTTTCAAAATCAAAGTGACGGAACTTTCGGTTCAATCTAATATAAATGACCTCCGAATACGGTAACCATCAACTTAGTACGTGAACGTGTTCTTGCGTCATGCGCGCCATCAGAATGATGTTAAAAAAACACTGAACGGATGGCTTATTTGCAGCGCACAAGCAATCACATGACACCGAATCTCACATGGCACCGGATTTGGGCTATGTGTGTACATACTACTCCAAACTACATTATGTAAAAAATTTCGAAAACTTATGTGTCGTAATGCTCGTCGAACTTGTTGGTTTTTAGACCACCACCAACAACCTGGGATGGTTGGAGCATTATATGGAGGGTCCACATAAGTTTTGGACCGAGTGATATGGAAATCGTTTGAAAATCTATCATATAGTGAAGAGGGCAAATAAAACTATTGCCTCTCTTTTTTTAAGCCAAAAGATGCTTTGATAGATATGGCGCTCCAACCACATGCCTGCCAAGGCCCTTTGAACTGGCGACAATTGTTTTTTGCTTTTCTTGTTGTTTTAAATTGTCTTGTTTCGTTTTGATTTCTTATTAACTTTTGCATCAGTGGGGATTTCGTAAAATTGTGAAGTCATGGAGGACTTCGTTCTCAGAACTACTCCTAACCTATGCATGCCGGGCCCTGCTCCTTCGCCTGTTCATTTTGTAATAAAGGTGTTCTCATTTCAATGAGAAACTGCTATATAGTGCAAATTTGTTTGAAATGTAAAAATCATGCAAAGGCCCTCGAATCTACACCATTTGTCTCAATGTGTATACTCTGCGGTAGTACTCAAAATTTTCGTTATATATTAGGTTGCCCCGAAAGTTCTCTCGCTTCATGTTTCAAAATTCTTAACTTTTTGCGGTTTCAAAGGATTTGCTTTCTAATTTCTTTGGGAAGAAGAAGTTTTTCTTTTTGTAGAGGCATCTCGTAGCCTCAAACATACATTTATTGCAGAGATAAAAATGGAAAAAGAAGGCCACTTAACCTTTGACCATTTTAGATTAGGTCGCCAAAAGTCTGAAACGCCGCAAAAAAAATCTGAAAGTCATGATTTTCAAGAAAAGTGACGAATTAATCAATTTTGGCGTTTTCTATTGTGAACTCAAAAATTGCAACCTTTCATGGAGACGTCCAAACAGCACATTTTTTTTTCAGATGCAGAGTAATCATAACTTTTAGTACTGGCAATTCTGAATTTTTTGCAGCGGAGATATTTGGCGACACATCTTAAAATGGTCAAAGCTCAAGTGGTCTTATTCTTCAATTTTTATCTCTGCAATGAATGTATAGTAAAAGCTTAACGAGGTACATCTTCAAAGAGAAAGACTTCTTTCAAATAAAATGAAAAAGTAGCAATCCGTCGAGTTGGCAAAAAGTTACGAATTTTCAAATATGGAACGGCAGAACTTTCGGGCAATCTATTACATGTAAAGAAAGACCTCTTGTCTTTTTGTCATAATGTTTGTAAAAAAAATAATGGTTACGGT